CCATTCTGTCATTTACACAATGAACTCTGTAGGGGGCGCTATTTAAGGTCTCAAATCTAAAAGATCAGCAAACACATCATTATTTTGTATGATAAATATTACTATTATTATTGTTAAGAGACACTAATTGTGTACATTTAATTAAGCAAATTAATTAGTTGAGGAATATTGTTTGGAATAAACAAATATATTATAAAGTTATCTTAATGTATTCAATGTGATACAAGACAATAAATAATATGGACATGGAACAAAATAAACTGCTTCATTTGAATAATAGATCATGGGAAGATGAACTTTTGGGAATTAGACTAATATCAAATGCTTAGATTAAGTGGTTTAATTAAATTTTGTCTATGTTCAAATGTTAGCCACACAAATAGGTGCAAAACTGCATTCTTCATATGTGATTGAAATAGGATTTGAGGTTTTTAACTATGATTGTTATCATCAATGTCCATTAATATTTCGAACATATTTGTATCCGAGTGGGCTGAATGTTGTGGTGTAGAATAATTAAAGAAATGGCATGGAATCAATGAAACACTTTCTGTCTATTACAATAATTTACAAAATTTAGAATGATGATAAAGAAATAATTTATGCATTTAGTGGATGCTTTTATCCAAGTGACATTTACTGTATACATTTATTAATGTTTACTATTACTACATTTATTTGTTTACTGTATGAATACATTTTAGTCAGTATATTGATTTACTGTGTGATATAGCAATAAATGAATGGTTGAAGAATATGACATGTAGTAGCCCCAAACAAAATAGTGTAGACCTAATATAAACTCTACTAACCCAAATATGTAATCATGATTACATTAAAGGAAAAATCCACAAATTTGTTTTTTTTCCCCCTTTAGGTCATAATAATGCAGCCTAGTCAGTAGGCCTGGTTTCTGGTTAGCATATACTGTAAGTAATAAATCCGTTTTAAATGGCCAGATACACCTCATGATGTAAACACATTTGCTATATTCCAGAATCATATTACCCCTATTATCTGCCTTACGTACAGTAGCTTCTTCACACATACATCTACATGAAAATATTATGCATTCACATTGCAGTCTGTTCTGAGAATACAGGTTTAAAGCATTTGCAAGAATATCAGTCTCTGTCTGTCATTGAATATTTGAGGTGTGAGTTGAGCACCTGTGTGTGTGTGTGTGTGTGTGTGTGTGTTCAGACAGCTGTGAGTGGGGGGAGGGGGTGCTGACACTCCTGAGCTCGCTCACAGCAGAGTGGGAGGTGTTTCATCGGCAAGGTACCAGTTTTGTCTAAACTTCAGGTTCAAGTGAGGACTGCTTTTAGAAGAAGCTTCAAAGATAATATAATTTATTGCTGAGATCAAAAACGCTGGCGAAACCTCCCTTTCTGACATTTTTATTATCATTGGCAGAGATGGCGTTTGTTAGTCTTGGTATCTCACCACTGTGATTTTATTTTAAGTATTTGTGACTTTATATTTAACAATTAGGACTTTATTGCTCACAATGTGACTAATAATTGTGACTGTATTTCTCATAATAGTGACTCTATATCTCACAATTGCAACTATTTCTCTGAACTGCAACTTTATGTCTCACAAATGCAATAATTGTGACTATTTCACACAATTGTGACTTTGTACCTTATTTATAGCTAAATTATAGCTTTACATCTCACAATGTGACTTTATATTTATTAACTGTGAATATTTCTTACAATTGCAACTTTTTCTTGGACTCACAAATGTGGCTTTATATCTCATAATTGCGACTATATCTCACAATTATGACTTAATGTCTTACAATTATGACTTTACATCTGACTATCGCTATATTATTTCTTGTATCTGCAACTATAACAACTTCGCTATCGCTATATTATTTCTTGTAACTGCAACATACAGTTGCAATTTTTAACTTTGTTCCCTACAATTATGAATTTACATCTTACAATTAAGACAATGTGACTATATTTAATAATTGCAACTTTTTCCGCATAACTGCAAATTTATATCTCACAATTATGACTATTTCTCAGAAGTTTGAATGGCAGTTTATAAATCATAACCGCAACTATATTCACAATATGACACAGTTATGCTAATGAACAACATTACTTGGCATAACTGTTTATTTTGATTATCGATTTTAGTAAATGTAACTATTTGTTGAAGTTTGGTATCTTTAATTATTTTGCCATTGCAGATTTAAAAAATATATATTTTTCCAGCTAAAGCCACTTCATGTCATGCTGAAAAACACTTAGTGGTGAAATTACTTTCATTATCATTTTTTTTGTTCTTGTCGGATGGGCCTAGTATGATTGCGATGTGTAAAATATCTTCACAGGTTTTACATAGCATTGTATAATCTAACTTTCACAAGCTGCTTTATGCGGTTCTTGTCCTTTACCCACAGTTTTTAACCACGGAGGTCTGGTGATGGTTCAGAGCAGCGATCTTCCCCTCTCTTCTTTCTCCGTATCTTTCCACACGCCAGAGCTTTCAGAGCTTTCAGGATTCTGCACGGCAGATGGGTGCCTTGCTTTTACATCTCACTTGAGGGATGAAAAAAACAGTGCAATCTGCGACCCACAATGCAGCATCAGCGGAGCCGCGCAAACGAAACAGGGAATCGATGCAAGGGCACAGCCCAGATTCTTAACAATCCCTTTGAATCCCCACTTCCCCCTGCCCGGCCCTTCAAAGTGTGCCCAATGTTTTATTTATCCGACAGAGGAAGGAAATAAAGAGCCCGGCACAACAGAGTACCCCTTCTGTTTCCTGAAAAAGTCGGCCGTTATCGAGAATGAGGGGAGGGACGGTGGGGATTCGCACATGTTTTTGAGAAAGAACTACAAATCCCAACAGGCTCGGTGGTGGAAACGGACCAGCTGTCCACAGTTTTGCAGATCAGATCCCGTTGTCTTGATTATGAAATCACAAAATAATGAGGAGTAAAGTGCAGGCATGAGTGTTTTCTCCTTTGTTCTTGCTTTTGACAGAAGTTATTTTTCTCCCGTTGCCTCCAAGCTGTGGTCTGCGGTTGCCAATGTTTGGTGCAGGACTGCATTTGTTCCCGCAGACAGAAGAGAAGGCTCGTGGCCTTGCCCTGTTTAAAGCTGTCATCCAACTCCCGCCTTGTGTTTTATTCAATTTTGACTGCGGCCCATACGCCTCCCATACCAACTGTCATCATCAAAATTGCAAAAGTCCAAAGCAATTAGACTTTTTGGAGACTCTCGGTTAACTTCTGTTGTGTTCTCGCATTATATTAGACAGATAGTTGCACTACTTTATGAAAAAAAAAACCTGAATCTTCTTGCAAAGGCAGTTTTTGAGTATTGCTCTTGCAAAGTTTCATAGATGACACAATCGCAATCTGCCTAGTCTGGATCTGGGCTGCATTTGCCAAAAGCATTGTACGCCTAAGTAGATGGTAGAACCGTTGGCACCGATGGTCTCTACGAACAATTTAGGTTCATGATGCTTCTGGGAAACGCAGCCCGAACTGGTACGATTTCATTTGGACTAAAGTAAAATAGCATAAATTTTAGACTGAAGTCGAACTTTTAGAGTCAATTCAAATGCACTTACCGATGCACTCATCTATGGTTGAGCAGAAGCACCAACCACGACTTCCTAAAAGCTTTCAGAGTTGACTTCCATAATGACTGGCTAATTTTTTTAGTTTGTAGACAAATATGAACTTTTTACGACACAGCAAATGAGCAAATCACAGCAGGCACTGAAAGCAGGCAGCATTGTCAAAAAAGATTTAGATATGAACAAAAAAGCTGACAGTGTTAATATGGAACCAAAAAGAGGAGCGCAACCTGGCATTCACTCAAATTTTGCACCTGCACCTTAATAAATGGAGCTCTCCTGTGTGCCTCTCTGGCTTTCTCTGACTACATCTCTCATTTCTATTCAGCAAAAGCTCTCGTTCTGTCCTACACCCAGGCTCTGGGCGACATTTTTGGGGAGTTTCTTCTGCTCGGTGTACTGTGCGTGCTTTAATTTGGGCCTGTCCCTGAGGAAGCGCAACAATGAAGTGGACCTGTTTGGGAACGCGGTGCCAAGATTGGGGGATGACACAGCGAGGAGTTAGAGACACCTGGTCCGCCTGAAGGGCAAGCGGAAAACTTCTTCCCCCTTTCCCTCGCTCTGAGAAAACAGCTGCTGATCAGCATCTCGCAGCCATCTTACCATACTGGCTCAACCCAGGCCATCAATCAGCCAACACCTCCTGGGTGAAAGAGAGAGAGTGAGCAATGAGCAATACCTCATTTGTTTTGGCATAGATGCTTGGTATACTTTCACATGAGTCTCACGTCATTTTGATTGGTTTCAGTTTATGACTCATATTGAAGACCCCTTCAAATCATTTGATGTGCAGTTCTCTCGTGTTGACGGGGTTGGTCAGGACCAGACCAAAAAAAATAAAAAATTATTAGTGCTGTCAAACGATTAATTGTGAAGTTTTTGTTTACATAATACAGGTGCATCTGAATAAATTAGAATGTCGTGGAAAAGTTCATTTATTAATCGCAATTAATCGTTTGACAGCACTATAATTTATATATCTTATTTGTTTATATAAACAACTTTACATCTCACAATGTGACTATTTAATCATTGTGACTATTTCACACAATGGCGACCTTTTCTTGGGGTTGAACTGTCTCACAAATATGGCTTTATATTTCACAATTATGACTTTATGTCTTACAATTACGACTACATCTCACTGTCGCAATATTATTTCTTATAACTGCAACTTTATAATTCAAGTAACTCCAACTTTGTACCTCATAACGTGCACACACACACACATGGAATTACCATTTATTTTTATATTTTCAGTTGTATTTTTTAATTTTTTAGTTTTTTTTATTTTTATTTTGTTTTACTTTTATCAATTTTTATTTTTATATTACTATTTAGGTTTAACTTATTTTTTATTTAGTTTTAGTTTTTATTTATTAAGACTTAGACATTTTTGTGCTTCAAATTAAACTTCTTTCAGTTAGTTGCCAAGGCAACATTTCTATTTTTAGTTTGAATTTATTGTTATCTAATATTTATAATTTATTTTATTCCAGATTTTTCTCTTTCAAGTAACAGTTTTAGTTTCAGTTTAGTTTTAGTTTAATAACTGGAAAACCGGCAATTATTCACAAGCTACATAAATACTACATTTTTTTTTTAATCAATACTTTATCAAAACACTCTACATTAAAAAGTATATGAGATATTAGTGCATCTCACATCATGGTATGTCAAAAAAAACGTCAAAGGGTCTCAGGATGGTGTATTATTTCTAGTGAATTTTTCTAGTCGAAGCAAGCATGCTAGTGGACTAGCTTCATGCTAAATGGGCTGATATGGCCCACAACCCCAAACACAAAGCCAAGAATTCAGCATGCTAAGACTCACATGTAAATTCAAATAGTATGTCACAAAAAAAAAAAAAACTTTTTGTTTATACTTCGTTAATTTGTAGTCTAAGTCTGTGAATTGGGATGCAGTCAGTCACCAACTCCTAGTCATGTTGTGCCATTCAGGCTTCTTTCCACCTGCGTGTGCTTTAGAACTTTCTGTTCTCCGTGTAAGTGTGCTAAAAGAGGGAACCCTCTAAACGTCTGTCTGTCTTTCCTCTCCTCTGACGTGTTGAATAATGGAAAGTTGCAGGAGGAGCGCTCGTAGGCAGAGCCGGTGACATACGGACCCAGACACGTACTCCGGCACACAACTTGGTCAGCACAGATGAGTTGTGGGAAAACAAGCAGCTGCGGGAGGAAGAATGGACCATAAGGCTCGACCGCTTGCCAAATTTCATCATCTATTATGGATTGCCTGAGAAGCGTACTCCACTGCGACCGGGGGCATGTCTGAATCACATGCAATCGCAAATCTGCACCGAGTGCACAGATATTGGAGATATGCTCTGAGCCTGCCTGGCTTTATGGAATTTAACATGTTACTACAGAATTAAAGGATTTAGATGGTTGAAATGTCTTGTATTGAAATACCCCTGCAATTTCAAATCAGATATAACACAGATTTACTGACTTACTGAGAGATTTATTGCCTGTTTGCTCAGAATGATAAGTAGAGGATAAATCTGATCAATTTATTAAACGATAAAGTATAATAAAAAGCATCAGAGCAAATACAAATTGACAACAAGCCATACATTGGTGCTTAGAGCCCTTTAAAAAGATGCAAAGCAGAATTTATATGATACACAATGTAGCGTTTTTGTTTGTTTGTTTGTTTTTTTATAATCCTGAAAGAAATACGCCTGTCCTTTGCACCCTTACAAAAAGTACTGATAATGTCAGAAGGTAATGAGTCATGGTACTTTTATATAGGCTACATGACAGATATGATCAATGACAAATATGAGCAAAAAAAAAAAAAACAGTTTATAACATTTGCCACGTTCTTGGAAAGGTACTCTGTTTTACCTGAATTCAAAAATATTACATTTTTAATTATATTTCATTTTCAAGAAATAATATGAAGTTAATAACTCTAAAAATGTCATGTAGAGTAACCATCAAGTAAAAAGTTTAATAACATTTTCCTTACACCTTGAACACACATTCTTTTTATGTAATAAGGTTTTAAGTTGTACTATGATATTTTCATAGAGGTATTCAAGTCAATGTATGAATTTACAATATACCATGATGCTAAATGAATACACTCTTGATTATTTACCGTATGTGGAACCCCAAGATACTTAAAAAAAAAAACAGTGCAACTAGAAGAATCAGTTCAACTATGATAAAACCAAAGTACATTTTCAGAAAAAAATACCATACCACTTTTTTGTTAGTGCCAAGAGTATTGCATTACATGAAAAGTCTATATCTCTAAAGTAAGGCAGATATATCCCTACAGTTCATTATCAACGCCGCTCAAGCTTTCTCGTAAGAAGCAGAACTGAAGCAGTGTCGAGAGTTTCTATATCTTTTCTGAGGGACCACTTTGGCAGGCACCATCTCCACACAGCAGTCAATTGCCTTGTAAATTACAGGGCCGGGGTAATAAAAACTGATTTGTATATCACCAGGAGTGGAGAGTGTGTCTGTCTTGTAAATTTAATTAAACAGCAGGTGCAAAATCAGGTCATATGGCTTTGATGTGCCCCATGTGAGAATGACAACCAGACAAAGATTCTAATATGGGCAGCATTTACATATTTTTGCATGGGCGCTTGTACATTGGAACAGCCATCACCTTGTAGTGCATCAAATCCCCCCACCCCAAAAATCAAACAGGATTCAAATGAACCGTCACCTCTAATTTTAATAGCTCTGCACCAAAATAAACGTTTAAGCTCTTTACAACAGCTTTAATGTTGCATAAATGCTCCTATTATGGTTGGCTTACCCAGCTCATCGAATACGTAAAACTAGGGGAAAAACTTGGTATCGAATGCCGATTCCTCTCAAGCATGCAAAGCAGTGAAGCTAGAAATCATCCTCTTATTGGACGATGTGACCTGTGACATCAGCCCCGCCTCTGTCCCCACAGGACCCCGTTAATTTGATTTGACTTGCAAGAGGTGTCAGAGTCTGACCTGATGGCAACACCCATCTTGTGTTTTTACTTTCTACTTTCTTGCCTTTTTTCTAGAGGAGGTGCTGGATAATTACCACCTAGGATGTTGCCATCTGTGCCGCCTTTTCACGGTCTGTTAACTTGCCTCTCAAAAACTTTTCTGGTGGCAGAGGCCACACATGTAAGAGAGTGCACATTCAAGCATCATTAAATCCTATGCTAAAGAGGATAGACTCTACTTATGGCTCAGAGCAGTGTCACGCCGCCCCAAAATAGGCCGTTAGAAAATCAAGTCCCAAAAACGTTATAAATTCAATTGGGGTCATGTTAGCGCAATCCGGTCCAGATCGCGCTGGCACACGCTTTCTTTCCAAAGTCAGTCTGACCTTATCCACCTTATGTCCAGGTAGGCACAAATGTGCGGAATAAATATTGATTTCCGAGTGCCGTGACTTTATTGCTCTGTCTCTTAGATCGAGTCTGACCCGAGCGCCGACAATAGCGGCGTATTGTTGTGGTGGAAATCCTTTATTAACAAGCTGTCGGGTGTTTGTACTGACAGATTCTTTGTGAAAGCCTCACTTAGGAAACCACGGTGTCAAGCTGAGCAAGTTTTTAATGAGAAATGCCAAGCAAAACACGGCACGCTGCTGCAGGAGCGAGGAGGGGTACAGGTGCATGGCTGGAAGCGGTGGATGGCTCAATAGCCAAGAGAGAACATATCTGTGTTCAGGATCTCCTCTGATTATTGCCACACATCAGAGAAATGAAGCAACATCAACACAGGTGCGCGGCTGAGGGTTATGGGAGCCCGTTTGACACGTTTCACGAAAGCTCGCGCTGTTTTATTGCTTGGGATGCTCGCTGCGCCACGCAAAAATCCAGCAGCGGTACATTATTTGATATGAAGCAGTTCATCAAAACTATGATACAAAAAAGGAAATGTTACACCGGAGAAATGTTGATTGCTTTAAAGAGAAACAGCCTTTCTGCTCGGAAGGAACCATTTAGATCAAGTGACACTTTTAGTTGATGTAGTTGATAAAGCCAAACAGCGACAATTAACCCTTTGTTAAGCTCTGCCGCCTCTGGTTACTGATGTTAAAGGGATAGTTCACCCAAAAATGAAAATTTGATGTCTATCTGCTTACCCCCAGGGCATCCAAGATGTAGGTGACTGTTTCTTCAGTAGAACACAAACGAAGATTTTTAACACAAACCGTTGCAGTCTGTCAGTCTTATAATGGAGGTGAATGGGAATCACGGCTTTGAGAGTAAAAAAAAAAACATACACAAACAAAACCAAATTAAACCCTGCATCTCGTGACGATACATTGATGTATAAAGACACGAAACGATCGGTCTGTGCAAGAAACTGAACAGTATTTATATCGTTTTTTACCTCTGATTCACGCAATGTCCGAACTGTT